GTACTAGGCATCCAATGGTTAGACCTATGTTGACTGACCTCAGCCAACCAGTACCTGTGCAATTTGTTGCGATTAGATTCCATGGTAATTGGGAGTAATAAAGATTGTAGCACCCAATCGCAACGGGTAACAATTGCGATATTGATTTAACTCCTATCAACTACTATTGGTGAGCGTTCACACACGATTTTGAATTGCAAGTGGGTACATTTGGGTGTCGCCATTGCTACAACCAATCGGAATGTGATGCTAGTCTGAATAGGGTATTACAAAGAAGCTACAGCATATCCCACTTAACTTGAATAGTACTGTAATACTGTACTGTACAAATCAAGTCAACATCACCTCGACATTACATTTTTCAACTTATTTAATTTTGCTCTACAACATGCATGCTACAGTACAGAAGGATGCAGAATGCAAAAATTTTTTTTTTTTTTTTTTTTTACAAAACGCTGTTCCACGACAAAATTAAATATGAGCTTCCTCACTGATAGGGGTTCAGGAATTCTGCCCAATTGAGGACCTATGGCCCATTTTGTGCTGAGTGGTGTGAATCTCTTATCACAATGGTGTGAAGAGAAAGTTATTTTCACATGGTGATATTGACTGTCAAATGCAAACTTGATGATGACGACGACGACGACAATGACAATGATTTGTTTGGGAACGTTCTGACTGAGTAATCGGTACGATAACACATCAGGTAGGGCAAAACATCACTCCTATGATGTTTTCCTGAACCAAACACATATCCAAATGTCTATGATTTTGCTGCTTGTATCTGAAAAAGGTTGAGCAAACTGTGCATTAATGAAAAATTAGTGCAATGGTTTGAGATAAGAAAATAATTTTCTATGCTTTGAGTATTTAGCTACCCTGGATGGGAGGTTCCATTTCTACACATAGGGGTAGACTTTTCTTTCCTTAGAATTTCTCATAACATCTAAATAATTACACATCAAAAGAACAAATTTAGATACAAATCAACCTCGGTCAAAAGAGGTCATTGCTTGCTGTGAAAGATTACTTTGTATCCAAAACTATTGTCTGCGATGTTGAATACTGTATAACAAAGGAGATAACATAAAATATAAATTTTTAGTGAACAATAGAAATTTAGGATGGAGAGGCTATTGGTATTGAATTTTAATTAGCTATGTTCTTTGTGTTTAATTAAGAATTGTAAAATATTATGATGTTACTAAATATTATCATTAATATTGTACACCTGAATATAGTAATATTTTAAAATTTTTCCATACGATCTGATTATATTTAATAATATATTAGTTTATCTGTCTGTCCGTCCATCTACAGTATCCTGGTTAAAAATACTCCTCAGTATTATGGACTGAAAATATGTACAGTAGTACCGTGATTAGCTAACCCGCCGCACACCAATAATGATTTCGAATAAAAAGTAAAATATTACGCCCACTGCTACCTTGAACTCTCCAAAAATAAGATACTGTATGTAAGCCTATATTTCTTCCTAATTATATAAATTTAATTAAAGCATTTAACCATCCCATTCACCAATAACACTTTATCTTATTTTCTCCGTCTGGATGTTATTGGCAAAACCAGTGCTAAATGAGAAAACATTTTATTTTAACCTTTTTTTCTGCCCTTCTCCAGTGATCTTTCCAAAAAATAAGTTTGCGAAACAAGTAAGGCTATAATAAAGTGTTTTGCCTTACTAAATAGGCCTACTGCCAGTATTTGCCGTGTAACATTATCCGTTCATATATTCATACAGTAGTATGCATTCAAAAGTACAAGAGTCCAAATTAAGACTTTTGGGGACACAAATCGTCGTTCACATCACAAACTAAACACAATCAAAGTAGATTGTGTTAGTTCTTGAAATCACAGGAGCGCGTCAAAACAAGCGCGTATTGGTTGTAAAGCAATTTTGTATTCTTTACCACACAAAAAGTCCTTAACAACAACAGCGCGTATTTTGACGCACTTTCTTGATTTCACGAACTAACACAATCTACTTTGATTGTGTTAGTTCGTGATGTGAGTGACGAAATGGGCGATGACACTTTTGAGTATGCAAAATACCGTCAATGTGAATTTCTTCTTAAGAAAAA